TTTCTCAGAGGCTGATCTGGAAGTTAAGATGCATTTCAAAATCACTTGCTTTACAGTACCCATCCATTTGCCCTGAAGAAAAAAAAAATACTGCTTTATTGTAGCAACATCAAGTACAAGTTAAAAAGAATATGGGTAAGCCACTACAGGAGGCTCAGGGGGAACCGGCCAGCAGCCCAGCACTGCTGTGAAATGCTGCATTGGCCATTGTGAGGGTGCATTTAACAGGGTTAAAAGAGATACCTAAACCAAGGATTTTTAAAGGAAGCTGGGAGGACAGTGCAAGGAGGATTGTACACACTGTGACTTCATGGAAGATTTTAAGATATCAAAATCAGGTTTTTTGAAGAGAGACTCCCTGTATTATGAAAAAAATCCAAGGTTTGACTTTGCTTTCAATGTTATATAGGCTATTGAAGAACCTAATATAGGCTATTTAAGAACCTATTTTCAAAATGGAAGTAACATTGATAAAATGTTAAAGCTCTTTTCTTTCTCTAAAGCATGAGTTTTATGATATATAAATTGTAATGAATCTAAAATCTCATACTTATGGAAGATTTAATTACTGAAAATAATTTTTTTTGACAGAAAACTGCTTTGCAGGAGGTTCTGCAGAGCTGTTTTGCAGCTAGCTTTAACATAAGCAATTTCAATTGCTAGCAAAAAAGAGAAAGGAAATAAATCAGGTGTCCTTCATTATTAGAAAACGTTCTCTTCTGAACATATCCTAGTTCCAGATAAACACAGTAGAATTAGGGAAAATTAGGGCTGTTATGAGATCAGATCCTAGTCTGAGCCTCAAATAATGTCCCTAATTTTAAGGCTGAGAAGTAAAGGGTAAAATACTGGTGCTTTGAGTTATGAATACATTTAGTGTCTTTGCTGAACTATGATATGAGACTAATGATGATAAATATTGTGAAAGTGATTAAAGCATGATTGCACAGAAACGCATTTCTATTATTAATATTAGGTAATTAAGGTCCTTACAGTCTTCCTAGCTCCACTTACAGACAGGTAAGAGGAATCGCAGTGGAATTGATACCTTCATTTTCGGAGGTGCTGAAATCCTCTCTTCTGCCACTCTCTTCTGTGTGCTGTGATAATATTCAGCATCTGAAGATGTCTTGCTTAAAGTCACAGGGCAGCTGAGCAGTGGCACGGGTCATCTGGTTTCATATCTAACCTGCAGATCATTTTGGAAGGGATTTCTCCTGGCATAGGACAGGGAAAAAAGGATCAAGTACTGCAAATATGGTACAGATCATTTAGTCCCCACACTTTGTCCCTTGATTCACATTGCAGGTAAAAGTACCCCTTGGGGTAAGCAACATGCTGACTCTGCAAAAGGAGGTGTCAAAATCCGTATGGATTTTAACACTGACATTTCAGTGTGACAGACCTGTGAGATGAGGTGCAAACCTAACTGATAAAAATGCCCACTAAATAAAAGCTAAAGACTGAATGGGAGTGACTTGTTCCTTCCTGCTCTGGGGGAGCACCAAAGAGCAAGAAGGTAAGTTGGCTGAACTCCATGGAGAAATTCTTAGCATGAATGCAGAACTGAAGTTTCCAAAGCTGCTGTGTAAACCTTGTTCCTAAGGTTTAAGTTAATTTAAAACAGTAAATACAGTACCCATGAAAAAGCTTCCCTTTGTTCCATCTTAAAATGTGCCTTTTCATTCGCACTGGCTTAAAGCAGTAATTGCTAATGACTCTCTTGCTTCAGTGCTATTCTGGATAAGTTATGGCAATTATCTAGATCACAAATATATCTAACAGTCTTTGATATTTTCTGTAATTGTGCCTATTCCATTTGTTCTAAGTAAAGTCAATGTCAAAAGTCCTCGTGACTTCAGTGGTGAAGTTTCACTCCCTTAGACATGGTTCATCTTACTTCAGAGGAAGATTTTGTTTTCTCTTAATTCACTAGATGGTAGCAGTGTACAAATTGTGTGTTGTTGGGTTTCTTTAAATTCTAATCAGACTTGCATTCAGAACCTTCCTTCATTTCCCAACCCATCCTTTCTGAGTCTTGTACTGGGGTTTTGAAGGGAAAGAAGACAGAAGATTTTAAACATCCTTCTGAAAGGATGCCAACATTTGTGCTGTCCTGCAGATGTCTTCTTGTGATGGCAGAAACCAGACGACATTGGAAGAGCACAGCTACTGATGGTCAGAGAATGACATCAACATCTGAGGCTGAGCTTAAACGCTTTAGTACAGCCAAAATATACAAAAATTGAAAAAGGGACATTAAGTCTTCAATAGTTCTGTATCCCTTCCACCAGTTTCTACAGAATTCTCTGCACTACATCAGGCAGCATGATTAAATCAATGTCCATTATGACAGTAGTCAGTCTGGGGAAAGTTGTGGTGTTCAGCAAGGGACCATCTAGTTGTCAAAAGGCAAGAGGACGTGGGCTTCCAAAATACTAATATGGGGTAGAATTGTTCTGAGCATAATCTATTTTTGTCAGCAGTGGATGTGCTGATAAACAAGAAACAGTCATTTGAAACCAATGTGGTAGTTTTGTACACTTCTGTCCTACCTGACATATGTGTGCTAGGGCTGACCTCCTGATCTGCACGTTCCTGCAGAAGTATTACCCATGTCCTGGGAGGGAGGAAGGGACATTCTAACAAAATGTTGGCAGTCTTTCTCCAGGAACAAAAAAGTGCATTCAGACAGGTTGGTACTAACCCGTGGCATTTCACTTTTATCACTAGCATGCCCTGTGCTTCAAATAACCATGGCCAGTCTCAACTGGTGTTCTTAGGGAGGTGATCACAGCCAAATGTGCCACTGAAAGGGCTGCTTCCTGCCAAAGTGCTTCTCAGCATCTCTGGAAAGTCTGCATCCCTCTGGTTTCCCATCTATTACTCCTCACCTCTCTTCTGACAGTTTGCTCCACTGTTCAGGATCTTCTGGCGTGAGGAGTTTATTACAGTTATCAAGGTGCTAAGTTTAGTCAAAAATGAATTCCAGAGAAGGTGCTGTGCTCTTATGGCTTACCTCTTGATTGGTCTTACATCTTGTCGTCCACACAGGCAGCTCCTTTCCAAGGTTGCTTATTCCTGCCTGTGTGTGTCTTGAGCAATCGTTGTCAAGCAGGTCGGCTGTCCTGGCTAGCACAGCAGCTTGAAACTAGCTCAGTGTTTAAAAAACTATGCAGCACTCATAGCTCTTAATTTCATTCCTAACAGTTCTACTACAATATATCAGAAGTGAACAATGCAGATGTGAAGTGGTCTATTAGAGGAACTTTTTAAGCCTAAAAATACATGATGCTAAAAAAGATGAAGATATCTATGAACTGGTAGATAATGGCCAGAAGTAGAAGAGAGATGAAAAATATAATCCTTCAGTGAGTAGCTAGAACTAGCTGTAGTTAGCCCACATTCCCATGTGATCCTAGTGGGATGCAGACAGGAGCCATATCACTAACTAAACCAGAGTCCTCCTGACTGAATCAGACAGGCTGCCACTGAGATCACTATGCAGAAGTTGCTCTATAGAAAGCTTGCAGCAAACTTTATTTTCTGGTGGTACGATGAAATAAATCCAGGGGACATTTGCAGGAGAATTTTCAGAAATTCCTTCAGGCAATGACTGTGGAAGAGAGGCTGTAATGTAAGTACACTCTGGCTTTGTGCAAAGCACGGTGAGATAGGCAGAATTAACATTGATGGGAGAAAGCACACTCAGTTTTCATGAAGATGTTTAGTTATCTGATATAATTTTGCCAATTTGAGGGGTTGAGTGGCAGGAATATACTGGCGTTTATGCTTTATTTTCGGCAGCAACTGAGATACTTAATTTTAAAATGTCACGCAGATGCAAAAAACATGCCACAACCAAAATAATTGTAAATGGGTGTCACACCTCAACAGCTTGTCCATTTTATAGTCTTTGTAAAATACCATGGGTAATATGAAACAATGTCCTAGTCAGGGCCACAAAAACCATCCTAAAGTATGATAAAGATGGTAAAACAAGAAAGTTAAGATCAGATTTCCATTTTTCTTTTGGTTCTTATTTCGTAATTACTAACAAAACTGTCAAAATGAGGGTCCCAATCTAAAATTTCATCAAGGAAATGATTCAGACCTGGAAAACAACAGGCTGTGCTGAAAATAGTAAACAACGCATGCCAGTTCATGGTGCAAGTATGTGAATGAGAGGAAAGCAGGGTATATGCTGATTCCTTGTCATACTAATTCTACAGCTATCAATTAGGAATTAGTAAAATGTATAACACGGCTCTCTTGCAGCTATATTCCCGCTGGCTGCTGCTGTGGTGATACATTGCAATAATGCCAGTGATGATATTCCAGTAATAAATGATGGTAATACACCATCAGATTGTCATCACTCCAGTGATGTACTATTGCAATACATCATGAGGCAACAGAGTTTAAGCATTAGCAAAAGAGGCAAAATTCAGTACACATACACTGAACATGGCGTATGACGTACTGCATACACTTTGTATGTGTGTTCAGCAGGAGCTGTATATGAAATGCATGCTGCAAATACAGGTTTTTCTTACTCATTTGAATACTTAACATCTAAAGTGAACGTGTGTGTGTTCAAAAATCATAGAATAGAATCACTGAGGTTGAAAAGACCTTTAAGATCACTGAGTGATGGAGCTGCTTGGGAATTCAGCTCTCCATATTTTCACCATCCTGCACTGCAATGTGAGTGTGTTGGGTGATTGCCTCTTGTAGTACTTATGCACCAGAATGGTATGTTGAGCCTTGGCACGATAGGCCAGGGTCAGCAGGTTTTCTATTTAATTTGTGACCCCTTCTCAGCTTGTTCCTAACATGGTAATTACTGCCAGAGGGCTCTCAAACTCTTCTGCAATAATGGTATATTACACCTGATATGCATGCAGACAGACCAAGTAATTGGAGGGAAAAATACAAGATGGTTCTTATGCCTTATTATTATTCCTTATTTCTTTCATTTGGCAGCTGCCTTCATGGGAGGCATCACAGTAGTGACATTCTCACTGAAGTCTTCTCAGATGACATAATTCATAGATTAATCTCCAGTGAAAGTTCATGAAGAACTGATGCATCCTAGCTCCCAGTGATGTGAGTTTGGGGAGTCACACTGGGTCACCTGCATACACACAGGTTTAAAAAGAAGGTAAGATTTTACTTTGGAAGCCAAAGTGGCAATACCAAGACATTAGGGTCAAGGGAAGAGACTCCTTCTTAGTTAGTAAAGTGCAGTTTCAGAGGTTCAGTTTTGATGACAACAGACCAGGGAATTAAGCTGTGCACTTTAAAGATTTTTCTTAGCCTTTCTGATACTGAATTTCTCCAGAGGAATGCAGCACTAGCCAGCTCTGTGATCAATAAATATGCTATTGATGGAAAATGAGGGACAGGCTTAAAGAATCATTAAAGGTCAGCTGATTTGTCCCTAAAGCTCATATGCTCAGCATCTATTTACTATTTAAGAGTCACAGTTTGATACAGTGAAATTCACCTGGGAAAGAAGTTTGATTTTGTACGGCTGGCTGAAATTTGTATCTCTGGAGAACATTGACATAAATAACACTGGAGAACATTAATTTCTAGGAGGGGGGTGAATAGCTTCTGCAAGAGCAATCAAATTAGTCACTTCTGCTTCCACTGTTCTTTGATGTAAAATAAATAAGATCTATTTAAGTTCAAATAAAACCCCCCCAAGCCAAGTAAAGCATGACTTGCAAAGCTTGGAGCACTGCAGTTTCATCACCCAAAATGCTGCTACTGTAGACTTGGTTCAGCTACAAAAGATTGCATCTTTTAGTACATTATAAATAAACTTTTTAGGGTATTATTGCAAAAGTCAATGCCACATGCTGGAAAAAAGCAATTAGAAGAGAAAGCTGGGAGAGGTGAGGGTCTCCAAGTGTAATATACATGTTGTAACCCAACAGAGCATCCAGAGCCACAGGGGCAAACTACGCTTCCTGCTGGTCTTGAAATATTTTGTCTGCTTTATTAACTTCCAGTAGTGATAGTGGAACTGTAGCCTCAGATGGAATAAATATCCACCTTTAATATAAAGATTCCTAGTGATGAAAACTATCACAACCTTCATTAAATTGTTCTGCTTAGGAAGTGTCAATGTTAGCAACTTGAAATATACGTCTGGAATATACACGGTTTGGGTTGCTTAAAGTTGAGGGAATTTGGGTTCTGCCATAGATTACTTTGTGCAGCAGAGGTTCCTGCTTTCTTGTGGCTTTTACCTTTCCAGTTATATACTCTGTAGCCAAGTTACTGTGTATCTTTCTATTCTGTTTGACCTTTTAGTACACCTATTGATTTATTTTCTTTAAAACTAAGTTCATAGTTTTATTTTGCCAGCTGTATAGCAACGTATTCCTGAAGCTGAAGTATATTTATGAAATGCTCTTCCTATATCAACCAGGTTAATAATCTCTCTAAAAGGTTAAAGTTACTTCAAGAAGATCTGTTTTCCATACTTTGTTGATCAGCATGAGCAGTAGCATGCACCTTATAGCCTCTCTTAATTGAATTAAATATGAGGATTTCCTTTGTTTTCCCAGCCTGATGTCAGCCTGACAGCCTCTGTTACCCCAGCCATCCTGTCCCTACTTTGTGATGGACTAAAAAGAGCTCGCATTCTTTAAGTTTTCTGGAACTCTCCCCTGTCCACGGGTTACTGAAAAATCAACATCAGCTGCCAAAAAAGCTTCTCAGCCAGCTGCTTCAAAATTCCTCAATGCAAATTACCCAGAACTTCTGATTTAAGTATGTCTAACTACAGTAGCTGTTGATTAATATCCTCTTTAGTTACAGTAGGAATAGAAAGTATATTATCATAATCATATAACAAATACATCATCCTTCCTCCCCAGTACAGAACAGACATCTTTATTGAATTCTTTTGCATTGTTACTAAATAAAAAAGAAATATGTGTTGTTTCTGTTTGGGAACAGAGCTATCGGTCTGTTCCAAGGTTTTGGTTTTTTCACTCCAGAAATGTTTTGCTAAAACTGCTTTCTTATCAATGATCTCAACTGTACATTTTTGTCGTAATTATCTGTCCCCTTTTCCTATCAAATTCATTTATTACCTCCTTATTGGCAAGACTTACTTTTATGGCTGCATTCCCTTCCTGCTGTGGAGGTTTTTGATTTATTGTGCTGAGCTTCTGTTGTGTTTTTACACTGATCCAACCTCCTTACTCCTGTTAAAGTAAGATATCCTTAAGTAGTTCTTACAAAGCTCTCATATTTTCTGTCTTACTTCCTTTTTCTAATTGATTTTTCTTATAGTGGTGTTTTGCTTCATAAAGCCAACTTTCTTTAGGCCCCCCTGTGTACTGTACTGGTTCAGACTGCATTTTGCTTGCATACAGCTGGATTATTACCACTCGTATATCAATAGTGAAGTCAAGACTGGTCCTTGGTGTAGGTATGTCCCATTTATTCAAGAGCACATTAAAGATAAGCAAAAATCACCATGAAAGAGATTCATTCACTCCTGGCACTCAAGTCTTCCTTTCTGATAAAGGTTCCTCATCTTTCTTACAGGAAAGACCTGGCTGCTGAGTTAAACCAGGAGAAATGCCAGCCTCACCAGAGGAGTTTTACAGCTCCCTGTGGGATATGGCAACTCACTCCAGCTGGGCTTGGGCACAAATACCCCCTTCCTCCTCCTTCCCCTATGGCAGGATTCCTTGGCAGTCCCAAAACAAGGACAGGCTGCTGTGAGCTGTCCTCTGCAAAGGCGAAGACTGTTAACCTTCTTCTTACCACCCATCAGATGGGGCCTGTATGGTTTACGAAGGCATCGTTCAGATCCTGTGGGCTCTCCCCCAAAGTTGCTAGTGTTAAGGGGAAGTTCTCCCCAGTGAATTCTGTGCTGAGCTGGCTCCAAGCCTGTGCTGATGTTGGAGGCAAAGGATCAGAGCTTAGTATGCTGCATTTTGCAAGTTTCTTTGCAGCACCCCTATTCACTCAGCTCCTGGCTGAGGGAACAAGCTGCTTTCAGTACTGGTGTCTGTGGAGCAGGTTCAGGCTGCTTGCTGTTTCAGTTCAAGGGAGAGAACGAGCCGATACTCCTCACTGCTCCCTCTCCTTAAAGACTAATGTTGTGCTCTCAAAACAATGCCCTATTTAGTTTGGTTTCCTGGACTGAAATGTCTGCATACTGTTTTCCTCACTTGTACTTGTGGATTTGGATCTTTACTCCTAGGTGCTGTAACTGAAAATGGTCCATGTGCAGCACCTTCGCTAGGTGGTTAATGGGTCCAATGAGGGCTGAGGTCAGTATCTGTTCTCTTGCTTTGCAGAAGACCAGATCTGGCTTACATCTTAACTTTAAACCTGATCAGAGGAAAAAGTCTCCCAGAAGTTCTTTCCCAGTGTAGAATCACCTCTGTCTCTGAAAGTACTTTATGTGTGTATCTCCAGCAGTTGAACAGCAACGTAGACAAGCAGAACAGCCAGCATGGGCAAAGCGCCCTTGCACAGGGACAGCTCAGACTTCCCATCCCACAGAAAGTCTGAAGGCAGGCTGTGAATCCAAATAGAACTGATGGCACGGTATGTCAAGTACCTTAACAAAACTTCTTTACAGCTGCTCTTCCCCCTCTTCATCCAAAAAAAGAAACAAAGAACTCCTCCTATTTTGGAGCTTAGGCTGTAGGCTTAAGTACTATATATACATGAACTTTCCACATGCGATACCGTATTTTATAAAACCATGGCAAAGAAAATACCCTGAGTACTTGCCAGATTCCTCCCCCTCAGTCCTCCTCCCGACACTAGGCACCCATTATAGAGTTAGGAATATTCTGTCCCCATATCTAGGTTTTGACAGTAGCTTGCTTTTGTGATTGCAAGTGAGCCATAAAAAGAAAGAAAAGTTACAGCAAATTAATAAGGCTCCTCTGCTGAATATGGTATTTCTATTAAAATTTTAAAAGTTTGAAGTGACAGTAAATGTAGTCTTATTTTAGAATGGTTTCCATAACACTACACAACAGTTGCCAATGGCACTTATGCCTTCTCGTGCATACACACACAGCTATTTAGCTGACAACAGTGTTTAAGCCATTAAACAAGATAATATTGCAACTGTTATGCAATGGTAAAGCTCGCTCTTGAAAGAAGTATTTGGTGTTTTAAGCTGAAAGTCGACATTTGTTCCATATTCATTTATATTTTCTTTATTATAAATGTATAATTTAATGTAATATTCAAGGCCCTTAGGGTATACACTCTGTTACCTATAAAACATTCATGCACATTGAACACTTTTTTGGTGCCAGTTCTTGGCTTTGTGCATCTGCTATACAATACCGAGTATTATAACTAACAACATGCCTTAATTGAGTTTAGGTGTTTGAGTCATTTATTTAAATTTAGTAGTGTGAATAATTTATTTCAATTTACATTTTAATTATTTTACCCACTTTTTGGGGAATAACCTCATTTTCTAGCTTCTAAAAAAATAATCGGCATATGTTTACTGCAGCAACACTCACACTTACTAAATTCTCTGAGAAGTTTAGTTCCAAACTGAGAAATACTACTGAATTATTCATACAGGAGGCATTAGTTGGAATTAAATTAGGATGTCCAGATCTAAAAGAAACTTGACCTTCTAGCTCCCAACAGCCCTAAAAAGCTCCCTAAGAACTGCTCATCTGCCATGGCAAGCTGGACTAAGCTCCATTTAAGTATGACAATATACAAATATTTCTGCAGTCAGTGTGGGTTTATATGTTTTTTATTTATGATTCTGTTATTATTTACTATCTGTAATTGAACAGTTTATTGGGACATCATGCATGGCATGGAGCTCCTTGTGCTCTTTGCCCAAGGATATTTATAACCTAAAGGAAATTCTTTTTGGTTTCCGTATATTAGTTTGCTTTGAAAAATGGACTAAACAAGGCAATTTTTCCCATGTAACTAACAGACAGTGAAGGTCTGAGGCAGGCATTCCATTTTCAGCTGGTGCTCCTTGCACCCTGGAGCCTCAGGAGTGAGGAAATGGTACTTACCTGTACATACAAGCATCCAGTTTGGTCAGCAGTGTGCCCAGAGCTCAGCTTTGGTTTACATAAGCTGCCAGCTGGGGTGTTGGTTGTGTGTTTGCTGGGAGAACTGCAAGGGTGTCCAAGCTCAAAGGACTTATGTCCTAAGAAACAAATGGGGACTCTGGTGGAAAACAAGGGATGATTTATAATGTATTGTTCACTGACAATGAGAACTAACTGATTCTCTGAAAACAGTTCTTTCTTTAAAGGTGGACCTGAAAAACTGAAGAACCCCAAAATAGACCAAACTAAATACAAGTGCCAAACTGATTAGAACTTGGAGTTTGCAGTGCCAAGCCTGCCCCACATCAAGGATCACTGGGGCACACAGGTTGCCTGATCTGTTGCCTGCAATGCCGAGGTGAGCAGCATGTCCTACCCCTGAGCCACTCACATTTCCTTGTGTTATTTGAACAACTCTGAAGCGGCTAATTTTGTTTGCAAAATTGTGTAAGACTTTAAAGGCTTCTGGTTGTATCTGAATTACAAGCCCTGAGCAGTTACCATGTAAAACCATAGGCAGGCATGGTTTTACCTAGTTCTCTTGCTGTTGCCTGGGCATTAGCTGCAGACCTTGTTCTTGCAACCACACCTGTCAGTAGTTTAATTCAGTTTACTGAAGCTATTCAGGTACATCAGCATTTGCATGGCACAGTCTTTAGGAGTCTTCAGTTTAACCCATGAAGTGCTGCTGCTGTTTTAACTGCTGCTCCCCTGCTGCACAGAGAGATGAACCAAAGATGCTTGTCTAGGGCACAGCTTGGTAATTTGCTTACAAATTTGCTCTAACAGTTGTCTCCAGTTCTTGCATGGTTTTCTAGTGCATTCAGCCTCAGGATCTGACGGAGTCCTAATGTTAAGCCATAGAGTATGATCTGATTTTAGAGGAGCTCAGGATCTGAGAAAAGATTTAACATCTGAATCCAGCTTTTACAGAACATCTCTCTCAGTGGTGGCTGCCTATATGTGTTTAAAGTGTTAACAGGAGAAACACTGTCCCATTTTATAGACATCTGTTAGTGACTGAGATGGCTAAAACAAGAGTTTTATGACCAGAAAAAGATCTCTCCAACAAAGGGCAATGAAAACCACTCAGCATTAAATATGTGAGGATTTTTCTTTAGTGGCAAAGTCAATTTGTGACATTTTGTCATCTGTCCTGTGTGCAGGCATATATATATATATATACACACACACCTCTGTCTCTCGAGTTGTCTTTTGTTAAAAAATGATATTTTCCAAATACAGTGTAAATAGAAGCAAACATACATGCATTGGTTTCAGCCTGAATGTCTTTGTTCCTTGGATTTCTATGTATACATATATACAAGTTATTCAGTGCTGGTTGGTTTTACTCATGCATACTTTTCACTCACACAAGTGATCTCCCTTTCCTGTCAGTATATAGCTACACAAATGTTTCTCTAGGTAAATAAATTTCACCACATTTTACTTTAAAATGTAATTTTTTCAAATTCACTTTTACTGCTAAATACGGTACATAATGGCCTGTCCACAAATGAACACCCTAAGAACAGAAAACGGTAAGCTGGAAATATATCTTTAGCATTTAGCTCCAACAAACTACAGCGTATCTTTGTTTTGAATATCAATTGACCTGCTATTCAAAATAAGACTTTTTTTTCAGCTGTAGAAAAATTTCCCAGCTGAGCAGAAGTAGGCTGTGGAGGAGTCTGCAGTGATGCGGTGGGCTGTGATTCAGGTGCAGTGACAACCATCTTGGCTGAACCAGTGACAGGCAGCTTTCCAGAGCTAAAACCAGTCTGCAGCTTCAACCAAAGAGGTGGCAGTGCTGCTGAGAGCTGTGTGACCTGGGACTTCCCTGCTGACCAGGTGGCTGCCACGGAGGTGACAAAAAATCCATTTTGAGGTTGGCACGTTCTCTGCTTGGGAAAGGTTTGCTGTTAGTTGTTGTGGAGTGCGTTGAGTGCTCAGGCTGTTTTCTCTGCACATTCCGGCTGAGGGAACTGATTAATTCAGCAGATGGTTAAATACCTTGTTGAACCAGAGCCATATCCAGTCCCTACACACGGGGAAATAACTTGGGGAATGATTCTAACAAGCATGAGGCTGTGGACTTCTCAAAAGTGAGGTGTGCCAAAGCCACATGTGGGGAGTGATGGGGACAGAGCCAGCCTGGACACATGGCTGCTGCAGGATGGGCAGCCCGATTGGTGCTGCAGAACTGCTGGGAAGCACTGGCACAGGGGGACTGCAGCGTGTAAAGGGTGAGGGGTCCATCCGTGCTGCCGTGGCACCAGCGGGCAGCAGAGTAGGAGTACCCTGAGAGGCATCACACCATGAATCGAGCTATTGCGATCATGAGCTGCTGCAGATTTATGGCACTACAAGATTTCCTCCACAGTCATCTTTAAATGTCTGTTCCTCAAGCTATGTGCTCTCTGACAAAGGCAGCTTTTCACTTGGATCCTTACAAACCCCTGTCCCAGAACACTCTGATCACAATAGATTTTGTGGATGTTGTTGTAATGATGGTACACAGCGTGAGGCTACGGTGAATATTCAATATACACAGCTTTCCATAGGGCAAATCTACATGTACCCTAGAAGCAAGAGGATCAAAATAATTTTTGGACAACATGACTCTGTTTTGAAGGTCACAAGCAAAAGACTTTCCTGAAAGCTGGACCGAATGTTTTGCAGATGAGGAGTCATTTCGGTCAGAAAATAAATCCATTTTTGGGCAAAGAGCTGAACAAAAATATAAACAAAAGGTTTAAAACCAGCATCAGTTATTAGGAAAAAAAAAAAAAAGAAAAAAACACTCCTCTTTTCACACAAATTATTTATAAATAAATACTTGTTTTTTATAGTGGTCCAAGTTTTTAGGCATTTTGTAGACAACTCTGAAACTAGTTCTTTGTCCCATTGCTCTTACTGCCATACAATACTGCACATATGCAAGAAATGAGCAAGTGGTAACACTGGGAGTGATGGGCATAACCATGCAAACAGTTTTGGCCTTGTTTTGAGTGTGACTGTCTTTTCATGTGCAGATTTATTGGAAAAAGGGACTCATATGAAACGATGTCTCCTTATTTAATGGCTCTGAACCTCCCACCTCTCCTCACCTTATTATGCTAGAGGCACAGTGGATACGCTGGGAGAAGGATCATGCCATACTTTTTCTCTAAGCTTCCATTGCTTGAAACAGGATATTAAATACTTGGCAATAAAGCAGGTTCTGCTTGTTGTTCAGTAACCTTGTAGCCTTCAGCTCTGCTCTAAAATCATACAGGAGCTGAGCAGCTGAGCAGGGATCAATGATTTGTGTCAGAGAGGAAGGAGGATATTAAAGATACTGGAGGAAATAAAAAAAAAAAAAAAAGAGAATCTGACCTTGGAGCAGCCAAATGCGTAGAGACCCATTGGTTCAACTTCTAACCCTCATTACTTGTCCCCTCCCATCACTGAATTTAATCCTTACACAACTCTTGCCAGCCTCTCCTTTGGCACTGCAAGCTGGCTCTTCAGCTTGATGAACGGCTCTTGTGCACAGGCTCTGCTGAGTAGGGAGCTGAGGCTGGGGATGAGATTAGACAGTTGGGGGGATAGTGCTGCTTTTCCATCTGGGCTCCAGCAGCCCTTGTGGATGACACCTATCCATCGCGTGAAAAAGGTTTCCTAGCACTACTAGAGCGGAGGAAGGTGTATGTTTCTTCCTACCTTTGTTATTAGTCCAGCCCCTTATTTTCAGGGCTGTGTGCTCATTAGCAGCCACCTTTCTATAATGCCCAGAGGGAGCTTTGTTGCTGATCCTGATGGGAGAGAAGGCAGCAAGTGCCAAGGTGCCGGAGTCTGCAGGTCTCTTAGGTGGTGCTGGAGGTGCTGGTAGGGAGGACACCACCCACAGGATCAGCACAGGAGCAGGGTTTGATACCATGGTTTTCATATTGTACTCTGGCTCAACTGTCAGCTACAACCACTTCCAACGGCCCTCCTTTGCCTCCCCATTCCTTCCTTATCTTTCTGTGAACATTTCCATGCTGCTGTTAAACTTGCCGTACACAGGGTGCTGCCCCTGCAAAATGAGCACTGCCCCTTGGCCTCTGCTTTTCAGGTAATGGTCAAACCTGTGGTGCAGAGGTTAGCTCTCTCACTGTACGCAGCATCACATCAGGCCTGAAGATCAGCTCTTACACAGACAGAGCATTTCTCCCTTGCAAGGGCACAGTTTCCTGTAGGTCTGCCTGAGCTAACAAACTTGCCTGCACAGACAGTAGCTCAGATGGGGGCAGAGTGGAGGTGCAGAGCAGCAGGTACAGTGATGGGCTGTTCTGGCTGCAACGCTGCAAATGATGAGTGCATATTTTGCTTTTCCTTGGAAGTACATGATTCACTGATACCCTTCACAAAATCTTACTGCTCACAGAGGGCCAGGGAAGAATTATGTTTTTTCATTGAATGCAGAGGATCACGTGGGTGAGAACAGGTTGGTCTAGGGGATATTGCAGCCCTGATGCCCTGCAGGAAAGACAGAGGAGACCAAGTCGAGAGAGCAGCTCCAGACTGGTAGAAGGAAAAGATCCATGACCTCATACTGGTCTCTGCTCACAGGGGACGGCAGTGGCAACACTGAGCCATGATGATTTGGGGACCACCATGATGCTGCAGCCTAAAGGATCAAATTTGGTCCCAGGTATTGCAGTGCAAATCTAGAACAGTCTATTAGATCTGATTTGTTCTGCTGCTGTGGTGCAGAACAAACAGGAGCACACCAGTCCCTGGGTGTAGTGACCCTTGGAGGTCCCTGCTCACTCCTCTGGGTTAACCCTTCCCATAGAGTGCAGTGCTACTCCCAGCCCCTCTGCAGCTGAAGAACCACTAGAGAACCCTTGTGTGAGGGTGCCTTGTGCTGCTGTTTGAAACAGAGCATCTTTTCCTTTCTCTCTAAGTTTTGATCTAGAATGACGACTCATTCTCATGCATCACTATAAAATCAATCTCGAATGCTAAATTCATTCCAATTAAGTACCCACCTTCCAGATTAGTCCAAGTGTAATAGAAGAATTATTAACTAATTCCAAGAATTCACATTCTCCTAACCCTAGCAGAAAGCTGCAGGAGAGGCTTAGTGCTTTTAAATCACTCCACGGTGCTCTCTTATTAAATGCCACAGTTTTCAGCCCCATACTGCATTATTACCATTGTTGTCCTTTAGGGGTTGATGTTAATGACGACTGAAAGAGCTTAATGAGCATGTGCCTTGAATAAGCTCTTTATACACCTTATAAAATAATTATTCACATTTTATTGAAAACTCCACAGCGCCAAGCCCACAGGAGCAGGCAGGGGTGCCAATTTAATGTGATACGCTACACTGCTTTACTCAAATAAGGCCTGATCCTACAGGAGTTCACCTTCACTGGCACAAAGGACAACAGCATCTCACCTGCTGCTGCTGAGCACAGGGCTGCAGGATACCCACTGGTCTCCATCCTAAGACACTGGGGGCTCGCAATTAAATTTAAGGATCACAAAATGCCCTCTTAGATTGGAAGTGGTTTTGTGCACCAAGAGGAATAGGATTTGGGCTCTAACAGCATAAAGACGCTCCGATAAAAAGTGACTTGTCAATAGTGCGTTAAGCAGTCTTTAAATAGTGCTGCAAAGCACCTTTTCCCATCTTGTTCCCCTCCAGCACAGATCAAAATTGCTGAGCTATTAAACAAAGATATTCACAACGGACTGACTTTGGTGTCTCCTGGGATGCAGTGTGGTCTCTGCCTTCAACAATGCACAGCAGTGCTCTCTTGCAAGGGCTACAGAAAGTTCTCACATAGGGGTGAACGACAAAGCTCCTGTTGAGGCTGTGACAGGCGAAGTTTATTGTCAGGTAAGTGTTCTGTGTTTGCCACAGGGAAATGGGTACATGATTCGCAGTAGGTGAATTGCTTGTAATACATTTCGTTGGAAAATTTAAAACTGGAAGTTTATTTTTTTCATCTTTAAGCAAAAAGCTTCTGCATCTGTCATGAAGGAAATCTCCTTTGAGGCTGAACAAAATAAAAGATGGAAGTCCAAATGAAATACTCCCATAACATGTTTTGACGTGTTTATTAATTATTATTGATCATAGAATCATAGAATAGTTAGGATTGGAAAGGACCTTAAGATTATCAAGTTCCAACCGCCCTGCCATGGGCAGGGACACCTTGCACTAAACCATATCACCCAAGGCTCTGTCCAACTTGGCCTTGAACACTGCCAGGGATGGAGCATTCACAAGCTCCCTGGACAACCCATTCCAGTGCCTCACCACCCTAACAGGAAAGAATTTCCTCCTTATATCCAATCTAAACTTCCCCTGTTTAAGTTTTAACCCATTACCCCTTGTCCTACCACTACAGTCCCTAATGAAGAGTCCCTCCCCAGCATCTCTATATCCCCTCTTCAGATACTGGAAGGCTGCTATGAGGTCTCCACGCAGCCTTCTCTTCTCCAGGCTGAACAGCCCCAACTTTCTTAGCCTGTCTTCATACGCGAGGTGCTCCAGTCCCCTGATCATTCTCGTGGCCCTCCTCTGGACTTGTTCCAACAGATCCATGTCCTTTTTATGTTGAGGACACCACAACTGCACACAATACTCCAGGTGAGGTCTCACGAGAGCAGAGGGGCAGGATCACCTCCTTCGACCTGCTGGTCGCACTTCTTTTGATGCAGCCCAGGATACGGTTGGCTTTCTGGGCTGCAAGCGCACACTGCTGTCTCATGTTCATTTTCTCATTGACCAGCACCCCCAAGTCCTTCTCCACAGGGCTGCTCTGAATCTCTTCTCTGCCCAACCTGTAGCTGTGTCTGGGATTGCTCCGACCCAGGTGTAGGACCTTGCACTTTTCATGGTTAAACTTCATGAGGTTGGCATCAGCCCACCTCACAAGCGTATTCTACCTAATGTTCAGAGTTTGACTTTGAAAGGGTAAAAGACACTTTATTTTGAACAACAGAATAAAAGCCCGTTTTTGCCTAAGCCCCCTCATCTGGCTGCAAAGTAGGCTGAGCCTCCCAACACATGGATGCAGGCACTGCACACCAAACAGCAGCTCCATCAGTGCATGGCACAGCAAGCTGCAGATGTGGGGCACCGACAGGCACTACTGGGAAGAAAAGCAGAGAACTGCACCACAGTATCACTGTCATGAGCACCATCTCCTTCAGTTCATTAATACTGCAAAAATGCTTAAGGTTCTCATAATTTCAAAACCAGACTCTTCAACAAAATGTGCCTTTGAAAACTCCTTTAGTGTTTACTAAATGTGCCCAAGACAGGCATTAGCAAAGCTCCTTGCTCTTTGTGTCTCTCAAGGCAGGGAGTTTGCGGCTACCAATGAGATCTGAGCTCATTCGAGACTGGACCAAAAACCAAGGTAAGGCTTCAGCATTCACATCCCAAACTCCTCTGTGGGCAGAACTCTGAATTTTGTGTTAACACAAGGTCAGTGCAGAGAATCATGGGGCACTCGGGGAAGGGAAAAGCCTGGCTTACTTTTTTCTCTGCCTTACGGACTAGTGTCATGCTTTCCACTTTTTCCTTTGCAACCGTGGAGGTTAAAAGTGTGTTTTAAAATGTCATATACATGAATAATTATCAATTTCCTGCTATTCCTATGACACTTCCAGGCTCGCATCCATGGCTGCTCCTTCCTATCCAACCAACTACAGCTTCTGAGCCCTCAGCTAAGGAAAACCTCCATATGATTGTTTTAGTCTTCACCCAAGATTGGGGTAGGCTGAGGGGCAGGGAACAGGAAGAACCTTCCAGATTGGATCAGCATCAAGGGGAGCAGAAAGGTTTTTCAGCCCGTGGAGAATGACTTCAAGTTTTACTTATCCCTCTTCTGTAGCATGTTGTGGGACCATCAGGATGCACTGCAAGCTTCTCCCCAGCCACAGTGCTGCAGTTGTCAGGAAGAATCCACCACTGATGGGCAAGAAATGTTCAGCGCAGACTGCTGCTTAGTTACATGTCTTGCTCAAAGCAATTACTAGTTGTGCCTACAAGATAAAATAAAAAACCTCAGCAGAGAAAGGGGCAAGAAGGAGGCTGAAAAAAAGGAAGATGGAGAAGAGAAAAAAAAAAAAAAGGGCTGTTTGAGCAAAGCAAGGCACAAGTACTTCCTGTATTCCACCCCTACAGCAGGAAGCCAAAATGAACCAAGGCAGGATGCTGAGGATGTCCCCTGTCTGCTCAGTGTCCAGGCATGGGGACATATGTCATGGGCAGGCACATGTGGACCATCAAGTCAGAGCTTTGTATGTGCTCAGTGAAACACTGACCTCTGAAGCCAGCATCTCCAAACAGGGTCCTTGTGGGCATTCTGTGCTGGAGTTACAGTCTGGTGTCTGTCTGCTGTAATCAGGAGCTATATGAAACCATGTCATTAACCAGGTGTGAGGGAAATGTACAGTGTAATCCAGTATAACACAATCATCAGCGCATTTTGATTCCCCTGCCCATCACCTTCCATATTCATCTTCAGCGACCTTTTGATGAAAACAGCTGCTTAAATTTAATTAAATAACAGCATTATATAAACAAGTTCTTTTGTTTTGTGTGCTGAACAGGGTATTCATCTTCAAAAGCTTTTCTGCCAGAGCTGGCCTTGCTGCCCCTTGACTTGTCTTTGCTCCAATTACCACTCCAGTTTAGCTGATTAATTTGTAGCCACTGGCAAACACGCACAGTTGGCAGGACATCATTCCATTTCAGTGACAAGCACTATAAAAGGATCATTATTTTCATTAGCATAAATAACTGCATGTTGATAGAACTCTGGTTTCTGAAAATAGGTTAAAGTCTTAACTGTCTTTATTCATTACCCAGATATAATTGGAAGTAAAATTATCACATAAGTGAACAATAAGCTATCAGTCTATAATGCTTAATGACTGCACTCAGTCCAGTAACTGTCTGCAATGATTTTTTTCTTAAAATGAGGCATTTTTATGTAAATGTCTGTATAGACACACACTAATTTTTTACAAACCCGTACATATTTGATGGTATACAAGAAAAGTCAGTGGAAAATAGAATCACACAGCGAATAAAGATGCTTTCTACTGCATAGTTTCTGTTTTCATAGGGTATATGGCTATTATTTTTCCAGTCAGTGGCCCAGGTTGGATGCTTTGAATATTATCTGGCTGCAGCCTTCTAGTCAATCATGTTGCTAATAGTTTTTCCCTTACTGGGGTTTTAAGATTTATTATTGCCTAAACATGATCCTTTGAGAGGAAAGGCTTACTCTTCTCCACCATGCTGGCTCCACATGCTTGGTGGCAGTTTTATGCAGCCTGGCAATGCAACACCCAAGTTGTGCTGGTTACAGCACTGGCTGTGCCTCCAAAGCAACTGTCCCCAGGGGGACCCTGCTCTGCCATGGTACCTTCTGCATGCCAAGACAACAACAACAGTAGAAGAACCCAGCAATAACAAAACCCAGTCTTTGAAAGTCAGATGTTGCAAGAGCTTTTGACCCTTACTTGTACCTTAGCAGCTCTTCAGATGAGAAAGTATATCAATACATGGGATGGGATCACCTAGATGGTTTCACCCCACTACCCTAGAGAGAAATGAGATTTCTGTTTGCAGCCTTTGGTTTTATTTCATTCTGAAAACTTTACCAAGTCTATCATCTATCTATCTATCTATCTATCTATCTATCTATCTATCATCTATCGATCGATCTATCTATCTATCTAATCTTATGCAGCATAGGTCTACTGTAAACTCCAGCAAGTGTTGGACAAGCATGACTTTTACTCAGTATACTGCCCATGCTCAGGATTCAGAAAAGAACAGACCCTGAAATATACCACTTAGCATATTTCACTTGGTCTTTGTATTTCATTTGCTAGTAAGTATACTTACTAGTAAGTATACTTACTGCTAGTAAGTATAATTGGTAAAATAAATCTTCATTAGTATTACGCAGACAGTGGACACTGTAAGAGGGAAAGCCTTTGCTGCCACAAAGAAGCCTTGCCACTGCTTTGAAGAGTTGCCCAGAACATTTTTGTCCTCAGCTGGTATCTCCGTATATGTTAGAAGATAACACCAAAATTTAGGTGGTTTATGTAACGGAAGAGCCAACAGTAATAAATATGTGAGCAAGTGATTGTCTCAGTACTGAATATCATCCAGGATAAAAATGTAGAGTGAAAGATGAAACCAAGATTTGGACTCCAACAAACTGATGACACCCACTGGATCCCCACAGGTACTGGATGGCAGCTCCTTGCAGCACCTGGCCCTTCTCCCAGGACTGGACAGAGAAGAATGGAGAAAGCTTAAGGACCTGGTATATTGTCAGAGGGTCATCAAGCTGAAAATGTCTTGCAAAATGACAGTATTTCCCATCAAGAATGGGACGCAGGGAAGAGGAGGGTGGAAGGTCTGCCAGCACGGGTGACCATCCAGTTTGGGGATGGAATGACGTGACTGGGTGCTAAAATGTCGTTGGGGTTGTTTTTGTGGGGTTGTTTGTTGTTGTTTTGTTTTTTTTTTATCACTCTTGTGAAATGTTTATTTTGCAACAAATAACTCCTAAAACAACAAAAGCCAGCATTGAAACACGTCAGAGAAAGAAAAAAACCCCATGCATCAGTAGGGTTTTTTTTCATGTTTTGCTAGTGCTTAGATCAAATGCCCCAAAGTAAAGCCCATCAGGCCACAGTATCCATTTCTGCATGCCACCAGTCCTGTAGAAACCACTGTAGGGCAAAGCTGGTGCTTGTGACAGCAGGGTCCAGGGACCAGCTCTGCCATGGGCAAGGGGTCCTGCCCATCATCTGCTCCTGTGAAGAGCAGGAAGAATCCCCATCACATCAGATAAGCAATAGGTGAGACAGTCAATGTGGCTTTGAGCTCTTGTGGCAGCAGCAGACCATGAGAGGCAGCAGCAGACTCTTCAGACAAGCTGAGGAACCCTCTGCCTGCATCCTGTTGAGTGTGAAAAGGGCTGGGAAATGCCTCTGAGCAACAGTGATATAGTAGGCCATGATGTTTACTGACAATAGCAGAAGCCAGAACTGCAGCAAACTGTAGATACCTATCTGGGGAGGGAAGAAGAGGTTAAGGATTGTTTGCATTAGACAACAACTTTCAGAGAGGAGCAAACGGTTGTGGTTTTTTTAATTTTAAGTTACTGTAAAACATCCTTGGAGGGTAAATAAGTAACATTTGGGGCTTAACTACTTGGGGTGTTGCTGAACTGGATGCATTGAATAGGACAAAAGGCGCTAACAAGTCAACAAAAGTCAGGAATGAAGGTAGAATAAGAACATACCTATTTCATACTTAGGGAAAACTGGGTATTTAAGATACACTGCAACTGCTGGCAAATTGTGGTGGTTTAGAAAATGCTACTGTACTTCTGAGAAACCCTGACAGGGAGTAGATTTAGTCTTACGGAATGATTTTTACTTGCTCCAGCAGAGTTCATCTGAGCTGAGCTCCCACGAGGGCGGTGCTGTATGGGTACAGGAAGAGCTTTGTGCAAGAGCAAGGTGCCTGCCAGACTAGGACTGAATGTGCTCTAACATCATTTAGGGAAGTGCTGCTTTTGCAGTGGCAGCAAGCTCGCAAACAACAGCTTGCCTGAATGTAATGAAATAAAAAGACTCTATTTATTTTGGACTGATTGATAGGCATCTTTGAGTTTTGGCAAACATGAACATTCATTTACCTGAACTGTAAATGGTTTTATTTTGCCGATTAGCATCTATGAGACCAGAATAGGTTTTTTTTTAATAAAAGATAAACCCCACCATCTTGCAGTCTAACTGAATTCAATAGCATATACCCGGAATAGAGGCTATTATGTCTTGTTGAACTCACTGTCTGGCCAACATGCCCTCAGAGGCACCTGCTCGATCAGCCAGCATAGTTGGGAGCTGCTTTGCTTTCTGTGCTACAAGCTCAAGCTCCAGGCAAGCATGCATGCTGTCGTGCCAGTGTTTGAAATGGAGTTTTTTTTCTGTTTTTGCTACACCATCATTATCACAGGAATTGTTCCAGAAAGCACAACAAAAGTAGGTTTTTTCCCTTGCAAGAGCCACTGCTGAGGACTCATTCTGATATCCTAGTCCTTTGCTGGGCAGGATATGCTTGTGTTTGCATTTTCTTCAGCTGTTGCTATCCTGGCTGCCAGCATGGCCAAACTCATCATGGATCAGACTCACTGATGCAAGATGTCTTGCTTGGCTTGAAAGATCCAAAACACTGTAGGAGGAATCCATGCTGTTGTCTAGGTATCACTCTGTTGGCTGCCCTCCAGTAGCCTTTTCTGGCTAATAGAATATTTCAAAACAAAATTGTAGGAACAAAAAAAGCAATGTGTGTGGATGTGGTATTGTAACAACACTGACCAGGGAGAACACATCTCTAATGTAATGCAGGTGACCCAGAGTATCTTCTATTCCTGTGCCCATTTCCCTATATGTAATATAGCAGATTGAAACGCTTTTTAGCCTTTTGAACATGGATTTCTGGGCTGAAGGATCACAATGAAGTTTTATAGCCCTTTCATATGGAGTGTGGCATTTCTGACATTATTTGATGTGCAAGAGCAACTGCATTAGTCAAAGGCTATGCTTGAATAGTTATCACTTTAAGCCCATGCCCTAGGAGTATTGTATTCAGTTCCCTCATTATTTCCAGCCCTGCAGGTTATACCAAGAGTTGCTATTAGTACATTACAATCATAAAATGAAGGTAATCACTTTCTATAAGGGTCAAGTTTACTCCTAGAAGCAGGCAAACTTCATTTTGCAGCTTGGATGGACTGGCAGTGCTCCACTCCAAGCTCTTCTGCTGCCTGGCTGTTGTGCATGCAGCCTTGCTCTACCTTCCTGGGTCCAAGTCCCGTTTGGACAATAAAACATTAAACAAAATCTAACACCTGGCTTCCAGTGCCCATGAGCTGGTGATCGAGGGGTTGGTACTCTGGGGAATCACTGTGATTGATCACCAAATCTGGAGGAAGATGGTCAGAAAAGAGAAATAATCTGCCATGTCAAGGCTCACTTTTGACCTGAGACTGTTATTGCTCCTCCTAGAGCTCATGACAGATTGAAGGTGGAGGAATGCAAACCGCTGTTGTCCCCATGCGCCTGTGCTGTCAGCAGGCTGCTGCCAGGACAGCAGGGATGTAGGTCCTGGTGGCTGTACAACAGGGAGTGGAAGTGCTCCCATCCAGGTGTAACTTCCCAACGCCTGACAAAACACTGCTCTTTGTTTGACTGAACACACCCTGACAGCAAGAAGGCAGGCACGTTTATTGGCCACATCTGAGTGCACAACTACTGCTGAAAAAGTCCCACAAAGATTTTAAGCATGGAAGAAACTGCTGAAATAATGAAAAAAATGTTTTCCAGGAGAAAAAGTTCCTTGACTTCAATTCTATGTGAGTTACAGCAAGCAAGATCCAGGTCCCAGTGACACACAAATTTAAAAAGAAAAGAGCAAGAAGCACCATCTTCATCTAAGCCACATGTTTACCTGGTAGAGCTTTGCT